ACTGATTCCTAGTACTGTATTGTGAATATAGCTTGTTGATTCTTTAATAAAATTAAGTTGAGCAATAGCAATGAAAGAAGTAACTTGATTGAGTCTAGACGACACAACACCCCTCCAAAGGCAAAGGAAAAACGCAAGACGTGCAACTTCCAGAACCGTCTGAGTCGAAAGCCGCCAGAACTTCGCCGAATTTCTTACACTTCCCTATGTCGCGTACCTCCCAGCTTCGGGCACGTTAAAAGTTCATAAACGTTTAAGAGCCGTCGACACATAATGTGGACCGAAGCCTTCGATTAACCGTATTATAATTCAAATTAATCACTAATCGAGATCAGATTGCACCCGACCCTCCCACGCCAGTGCATAGTGTGTCGGTCGAAAGACGGTACAAACCGGCCCTCCCCTGAGACTGTTTTAACACTTCCGTTCGGCAACCGGAAAAAAATATTAGCCAATTGGAACGAAGCTTTGAGTAATAACAATTGAAAATTGAATTTGAAATTAAAGTTGTCGGTGGAAATCGAGCAGGCTCTTGAGGTGGTTAGAGGCGGGCAATTGCAATGATTTTTAGCTTGGCTCTTATACGTTTATCGACTTTTAACGTGCCCGAAGCTGGGAGGTGAGCGCCATTTGGAAGCGGAAGAAATTCGGTGAAGTCCTGACGGCCTGAAGTTGCACGCCTTGTATTTTTCCTTTGCCTTTGGAGGGACATCAGTGCAAAGTGGAGAATTAACCGTCCCAAAACCCCGCAAAATCACTCGAGACAACACAGAAAAACGAAGGTAAGTGAACTGTATTTATATGACTGTCATTAAGGGGATTTCGGGGATGAAATATTACGATTTGCGGTACTTATGACCACAGGTTGTCTGCCTGTGCTACTGCCAGCACTTACGGACGACTTCATCAAGCCGCCGAGCAAAGTGTTAAAAGAATGTACAATAATATGAACTAGCATAAAATGGGTTACGCCTAGCACCACAGAGTGAATCAGTCTTGGCCTTAGAAACTTCGAACTTTCCATAAAAACTGCGAAAAATTACATATCACTCATATTCTCCATGTTTACAATGGCAAACTATCTATCCAAGTACGCATACGCCATCATTTGACCGCTGTGTTGACGTCTTTCAGAGCTGTGCCGACTGTATTTAGATGTATCATGGGATATTTGTCTTGTTGATCTGTGATTTGGTAGTCCCACCAAAGTCTCTCGGCGCTAGCGTGGAATTCTTGCTTTCACGTTCCAAAATATTTAGGGCAGCTACTCAGAGTCACATTCTTCTTTACCGAAGTATGTCATAACGGCAAGAGAAGTTTGGCTCTAACGTAAGTACTGTATAAAAACAACATTAGATAGAGCAGGCTGGTTGATATCCTCTCCTCCAAGAGAAAAATGAGAAGCAATTACAGTGTATGTCATTTTTGCGACTATTCAAGCGACACTGTATTGTAAAAAAAAGCATGGTATAACACTACTGTTACCTTAGGAATGAGTGGTATATTTGTGCCACAAGCGCAACGCAACACGGCTTGCTAAGCAAAACGGATGCATGACCCACGAGCCGCTGATCGGTTGCCAACCAACCAATATTGGCTCCATATCTGTGGTGTAGTCGCCCCTGTCCCGTCGTATTTGACTAGGACTCCAGGCCTGAAGTTGTGTTCAATTTTATCGGAGTTAAAAGAACGAAATAACTTAACCGATGTGTTAACTGTCGCCGATTTGAAATGACAGTCAAAGTTTAATCACGTGTATTCTATTTTTGTATTCCTCGTCTCTCAACTTAAGAATCTAAAATAGTTGTTCAGAACCTACTATGGCCGCTTTTGCGAACAAAACATCGAGTATGTTCTTAAATTTATAAATTTATGTGTAGTGATACGAAATTAACACGTTGTGTCCGATAGATTTTGCATAACATACTTCGCATTACGAAATCATTCGTGACTTCGGTGCAGTCAGTTACAGGTAATCACATGATTTCGAGTAAAGTTTGGGATAAATCGGCACGAATTTACTTGAGAAATGAAGATGAAAGACCAAAAATAAATTTTATGTACCGCACGGGAGCATTAATTAAGCCAGTTTATAAAGCAAATAATTGCTTTATAATGTCACTTAGTTCGGATGACGCGTAACTTGAGCTAAATTATGATCCCGCCTTATCCACTATCCCTCCTTTGAAACGGAGCATATCCCAGCCTCGCCTTTCTATTTTCATCCTGCACCCCGCCTTTTAAGTTCCTCACACCTCACATCCCACATCCCACATCCCATTTTGAGCCTCATCCCGCTAAACCTATGTTGTATCCTCATGACACGCAGATATATTCCAATTTTTTACCTAAATACCTTAAGATCTTTACTTTCCCTCGGTGAAATGTCATAATGTGGCTATTAATTAAGATATTTCACCGATGCGAAGTAAAGATCTTAAGGTATTTTGGCCAAAAATTGGAATTTATTTTCTTGTATTACCTTTTTAAAAGGTCAGCCTGGTCAGGCATTTGATAAGGTAAATCATATAATACTACCTGATGAATTAAACTTTTAAAGGAAAACTCGCTTAAATTATATTTTTATCATAGACTGCAGTTATTAAGCTTTCTTTTGAAATATTTTTTGAAATATTTTTTGAAATATAGTTTGCTAGGATTAGGAGTAACCTTAAACAGAATCGCAGTTCTCCAAAAACTAAATATGACGAATGTAACAGGAAGCGTTGCGGTACAGAATAATCACGTTCAAAATTAGATTCCATGTTGTCGTAAGTTTGTTTAGAAATTGATCAAAGATGACGACAAAAAGTGTGGTATGAACCACAGACGCCTTGATTCCCACACAGAATTACGGGTTGGATTTCCTAAGCTAGTAAATGTAGCATTTTCGTTTCCTTATAAATTGAAAAGAAGACATAGATCGTAGAACGAAACGTGTAATGTTGAATTGTCCAATTTAAAGTCGGATTTAAGCGAAAGTACACAGTTCAAGGTTACTGAACCAGCGTGGACGGAGCTTCTCTCTGACACGAGCGGGAAATCCTGTGAAACACTTTCTGTTTCTTACCGCTCTTATAAAAATGCCCTATGGTACACAACTTATTTCTTTAGAATTTGTTTTTCGATTTCTTAATTTCCAGTATATAATTTCTTTAGGTTCTTCATCTATGTAATAATAATAATATATAGATTTAGCCAAGCCTAAAAGCGGAGCTCGCATTTTTTTTTTCCCGCACGTCTCAAGTGCACAACACCTTGCCCCGGCCAGGACTAGAACCCGGGTCGTCCGACTCGGAGCCCAGTACACTGATCATTGGACTACTGAACAAAGCCTTGGCGTTGGCGTGCCCGCGGTACAGTTGACCACGCATGTTAAAAGTAGCACCTTGTACGGATGCCCGTACGGTCATAAGTCCAAATTTTTTCGGCTTGATGGCTTACGACTACCATTTTCTATAATTATGGGGCTACGCTCTGCGAACTCCGCTATTAATTATGTTAATTATGGAGATCTTTGGCAGTTGATTGACAACCCCCCCCCCCCCCCCCCCCCCCCCCCCCCATCAGCAAATCTGCTGACAGCGGGTTATTTTACTCTTAAATTTTGTAGTGGAGTAAATAAAGTGTGAAGTGTGATTATCGTCGAGAGTTACTAAAGCAGAGGTTTCGAGTGTTAGCCCTTCGTTAGAGCGACGGACTAACGCTTAAAATATCAGCTTTAGAAACATTTGTTTACTGTATCAACTCAGTTGATAAAACCAGATTTACTAAGAGCAGCTGCAGCCAAAGTCTTACTTCACAAGAGGATAAACAAAACTCGATTGCACTGAATTACATTAAATTGTTCCTTGCGATGAACACTTTTTCCTATTACTTCCACAGCCATTGAAAGTTTGATGGGGTCCCCATTTCCCATGAAGTACATTTATTGGGTCATCACAGCAATCATTTTTAGCCTCACACTTGTATCAGTATATATATTCAGTCCACCAGTGAGCAGGTACGTTTGTTAAAGGAATCCTCAATTTTATGGGAGAAACTTTGACTTCACTTACACCAAAGTGCTAAAGTCTATTTTGAAATATTTTGTTATTTTGCCTCTGTGTACAATTAAAATGGTATGGTGTGATTTAGAAAATGTTGCTTTTCTCAGCGTAAATCAAAGTATTTGCATGTGGTTTCAAAGCATAATGGTTGAACCAAACAACATTTCAAGATTTACATTTGTGTATAAGTACCACTCTGTAAGAGTACTTCAGAGGAAAAAAATCTAAATCCCTAATTTTCAAGAGCTATGATAATTTCGCAAAGCCTTTATTTGGAATACAATTAGCTATTCCTTCTACATTTTCATCGTCAATCGCTCTGATCAGTGCACGAATCGTAGTTCTCGACTGTTGAAACCCAAAAATTGGGAGAAAACGTAACTTCTATGTTGCAGCACAAAATATTCCTGGCCACGTATAGTTAATATTTTTAGTCTAGCAACATTCACGTTAAGTTGACATTGTTATTATGTAATGTTTAAAAAACGGGCAGGAGTGTTTTATCGGGTTTAAAACCACGAGGCGTAGCCGAGTGGTTTTTGACCCGATAAAACACGTGCTGCGAGTTTTTTGAACGGCTTCAAAAACATTCTTGGAAAAGCGTGTGTCAAGAGAGTTCATAACAATTATGCTTTTGTGAACGTTAGAAATTAGCATACGAGAAAAACATTGGGGATTAAATTAGTATGCAAGAAAATCAAATCTCACACGTGAAGTCCAGTGTTGAGCAACAACACCAGGTTAGCAAGATTTTATGCCCCCCTGAAAATAGGGAGACTACTGACAAAAGGTCAAACGCAGAGGTTAGCGAAAACGAGTTGAAGCCACTTCTGCCAACTGATCTTGAATTCGAAGTTTCAGATGATGTATTGTCTAATATGCCTTTACCAGATTACTGTACTAATGGAATAGAGAATTTTTCCAGATGTGTATTTCACAACTGTACTATTAATTTGGTGCAAAAGTAAATTTACTGTGTGAAATTTGTTGAAAGAACATTAAATATGTTCCCACCATTTGTTGTGTCAGTTTCTGTGTTGATAATTAATTAATATTCATAAGTCACGTGCAGTGTCTTTATATCTGTTAAAACATTGCATACTACTAAGGATGAGGTCTATCGATATAAAGTCACTGCACGTGATGTATTATCTACTATTTGATAGGTTAATGGGCTTATGAATTATTAATGAGTTTTTGAAAGTATTTTTATCAGTTAAACCCTTATTTAACCACGCTGTGTTTTCCGCCATACACAGCCTAAGAACTTAATGAAACTGTAACCTTTTTATCTCTTTAGATTTGAATTACCTCCTCTGAAAGAAAAAACAAACAACGAGGCGGCTGAAAAGTGTGCCTGTGAGAACAAAACAAAGGAGAGAGAGGATTCTTGGGCAAATGCCACGACAACAGAATCAACCTGGCTGAGACAAAACTTTGCAAAGGAGTTACATGAAATCCACTTACAACTGAAAAAACTACTCTTTTATAAACGAATGCCCTCGCCAGAACTTGTTGAGAAAGTTGGAGAACTTGCAAAACGGCTTGACGGAAAAGCAGAACCGGCAAATCCGAATAGTGGTATTAACAACACAAGTTTGGATGTGTGTCCAGAGGAATTCAAAGGAGGAACGTTTGGTTACCCTTACTTTTCCAAAGGTTGGGTCCTCGCCGATTGTACCGAAGCCAAACCACTTAGCTCCGTGATTAGTGTTGCAATAAATACTGTCACATATCCCCAAGAAGATGAAAAACACATCGACAATGTATTCAAAGGTATCAATGATACCTATCCTTCTGTCCACGTTTATGTAGCAACGCAGAGTGATGATATCGTGGAAACTGCCAAAAGGTTTAAAAACATTGATGCGGTTAAGGTCAATGATACAAAAGTAGCAAAGGTATGGAACACACTCAAAACTAAAGCTTCAACTCCTTACATGCTGATTGCACGTGATGTGGTTCACTTCTCATGGCTCACTCAAGTAGAGAGACAAATTCGAGTGATCAGTCAGATACCAAATGTAAAAGTTGCAGGGGGAGCGTATCGGAATATTTCAGGTCAATGGAAAGCAGGATGTGAACAAACCAAGCTACTTAACTATGTACTAGAATATCAAGAAGGCTATTATCACTCACAAAATTCGTGTATGTTTTGTGATTATCTGCAGGGTCCTTTTGTAACTAAAACAGAATTGTTTCAACTTGACGAAAGTCTTCCAAATGAAGTAGTTTTTGAAGACTGGTTCTTACGCATAGGTAAAGATGGCAACCAGGCAATGGCATGCCCAGATGCAATGTATTTTACTTCAGATCACACTTCGCTTTCCAAGAACACTAAAAAAGATGTCTGGACACCTTTGGCAAAAAAGTGGACCCTTAATCGAATATTGTTACCCCAGGGGGTCAAATATTCATTCTCTTGTAAGGATATTGAAGTGACATGCCAGGCCACTAGCGAATTACTCCCAATTTGTTGTCTGGAAGAGTACGCAAAGGTAATGGCACTCCTCCAGAAGTTAAGTAATGAGCGCAAAATTTTATTTGAACTTGATCATGGCTCTTTGTTGGGTGGAGTTAAGTTCAATGGTCTTCTTCCTTATGATATCGATGGAGATATTACATTGGTGACCAAACAAATTGACATATTCAGCAAAGACGAGATAAAGGAACTTTTTCGGAGCAATGGTTTCTCCATTTACGGATACCAATCACCACATTTGGACAAGGGAAAGTTGATTCATGGCTTCACCTACATAGGTTTCAATGGATTTAAAATAGAAGTGTGGGGAATGCAGAATCTTACGAATTTTCTACATGCCCCTTTGGAGCTACGAAACCTTGCATCGTTTACGAAAGCAAATCTTAGAGGCAACTGGGTTAATACAGCATGTAGTCCTGGTTTGTTTGCGAGAAATCGATATGGGAGAGAAATACTTAAACATTCCCAGTCTTGGAGAAAACAAGGACTCAAAGATAGTTGGCAGGATTACAACGCTGGTAGCTTCAAGCCGTGTAGAAAACCAAAGCATCACTCTTGCGTGGAGAATATGCCTGCTGATGGGAACATCCCTTTCCTCGTAGACTAGAGACAACAGGAATTACTGAAACAGGAACAACGAGGCATTTGGAACGATGTAGGATGCACTTCATTTTTAGATGCGCCCATTCATGGTTTAAATTAAGCACTTATTTACTAATTTTCTCTTCTTTATCATCGGCACTGCTTTTCCTTTTTTTGGATGAATATTTAAATTTACGAACGAAAAGATATTACCCGTGTGTGTTTTTTTAGTTTGCCGAGTATGAGAACGCAATCAGTTCGAGTTGTTGTTCATGGGTATATTGTTGTAGTCGTTGTCACAAAAGAATACAAACATTTAATGCACACATGCGAGTCACTTTGCTGTGGTTTTTGTCTGCCTATTGTGGCCAGCCCCTATGACTTTCAGAGTGGCGCAAACAGTTTTTATTGTTCAAGCTTCAAGCTTATTATTCAAGCCACTAACTAGCCCGGTAATACTTTTATGGTGGAGAGAGGATTTCAACACCAGCACTAAACCTTTTAACTTTAATGAGCTCACGACAAGAGTATGGTCTCTTAGCCGTGGATGACCTCTGTAACGCGTTTTTCCTGTTTGTGATAGCTATTGCAGCTTACGAAACAAAGCAATGACCTGACAAATATCAGAGTGATTCCTTAGACCGACGTCCCATAACGACATTTTTTGCATTTTCTCTCGCAGTGGCTCACTTCATTTGCACTTCCCATGCTCTCTCCCCTCAGGCACATGTGATTTCCGTTCGCCTCGCCTCATTACGAAACACTAAAGATTAATGCATAGAACGTAGTCTTGCATATATATATATATACCTCTATGCATATATAATAGGCTTCGCATCCAGACCCCCACCCGCTTACAGCATATCACAGTACATGCATATGAAAACAACCTATTGAACCTCCGCAAATGTGTTGCATATGAACAATGAAAATCCCAAAACGTAGATATCTAACAATACTGAAGTATTGATTATCCAACATTCCACCATTTTAGTCAAAATGATAAACCGTCTGCCATTTCATTGCTTTCAGGGTCTTAATAAGTAGAAAAAGAAACAAGTGATTGTGCGTTGACAGAGCTCCCCTTCTAATATAAAGAGCAGTAGTCTGTATCGCTCCTCGCCGTTGCTGAAGTAAGTCGAGTGGAAGTTTCTTGAAAGGGCACGCATGTCACTAGGCGCAAGTATGTCACCACAAACTCGCGCTATTGGTTCGTGAGCGCTTGCCTTGCAGGTTACTTTGGCACCGAGATTTTTACTGCAACTTGCAACACTGCGGCTGCTTGCAAGCTGAGCATGCAAATGGTAACCCCTGCTCAAATCTGGGCCGGAATTCGTCACGAAGAGTTAAAAAGGCTGAGTAACGAAGAGTTCAGCCGCACCCTTTACGAACGCTAAGGGGTTGGGGTCTAGAGTAGTTTTCAGGTTTTTTCATTCACATATAATAAACATGGCGGCTGTGGTTGGTGTATACTTAGGGAATACCAGCGCATCATTAGCTATCCACAAGGTGAGAATTTCCTGTCTTGAAGATGTTTAAATGTTTAATGGAGCCTTTGAGCTAATTTCTGTGTTATTCATCCAAGGCTGGAAGAACGGATATTATAGCGAATGATGCAGGGGACAGAGTCACTCCAGCTCTTGTCGCGTATTCTGGAAAAGACAAGGTTGGTATTGCTACCCTGAAAAAACAGTATCCCATTAAGATTAAGAAACAGAGAAACGAGTGATTCGAGAGGGAAGTGATTTTCGCTAACCATTTCTGTCTGTGTTTGTCATGATTCCCGTTTATTAGATAGATTATTCCATCTTTGCTAGTTAAATTGAAATAAGGAACAGGTCAAAAATAGGGATGCGAGAAAGGCTTGCTCGCAACCTGAGGCTCTGATGGTTTCAGTGAGGCTGCCAGAGTGAGCTGCAAGGTTTCAAGAAAAATATTTCAGCAAGTGTGGTTCCTTTCTCGCTGCAGCTTAAAGGAAATTTGTCACCACTTTTGGGTGAACGAGAAAATCCCAATAACCACAATACAACCAATAGTAAGCTATCCTGTTTGTTCCCAGTCAAATTTTACACTTCATTGTAGAGATAAGTAGTCAAGTTTCCTTTACCTTGCACCCTTCTTTTAAACCTATAGAAATGTCAGTGTAATTCAGAATATTTACACCTGTCTAATTCTCATCTATGAGAAAACAAAAAGTACTCCTGTTATTCACACATAAGCCCTCCTTGATGTAAATCCTAATCTCCATTTCCATTTCATTCCTGCCATTACAGAGAGTATGAAAGTATTTTTGTTATCTCAGAAAGATTCATATGATTGCCAGTTAAGAGCCTAGAGGAGATGCTTTAGTTTAGTTTAGTTTGCATCATTTTTGAGACATATGAGATGATATTCATTTCAGTGAATCAAGAAACATGTATTTGTTTGTCAAGAAGGAGGAGTGTACTACAATGAGAGTAAACTAAGAATACTCGTTTTTGACCCCCCACAGTGATACCATGAGTTCACTTAAAACTACAGTACAACCCCTCTAACTCAAGCTCCCAAAATTGAGCAAAGGGAAAGTAAAACAAATTTGAGCTATGGGGGAATTAGTTCAAGTTAACCTAGTTTGAGTTAGCTGATCATAAACAACTGATAAAATGGGGTCATTAATCCATGGGAAATTGCATTCTGTTCAAGTTCAAGTTAGTAGGATTCTGTTGTATATATAGTTAGGGCTTTCCTGTGAAACTAAGATTTTTTGGTACATTTCCTATAGTACACTAATTTATCAAGGATATTTTTAGCTTAAACAAATGGAGTGAGGAGACTCAGATGATATCCACTCTTAGCCATCATGCTGAATTGATACTTTCTTGGAATTTCCTTACGTTAGAATTCTGGTGATATTTATACCTCATAATGTGAGATTTTATCTTCTAGGCAATTGGTCTTCCAGCTAAGCAAGGGCTTATTCGCAATTCAAAGAATACCATGGCAAGAGCATGCAAAATAATTGGATTGAGGTGAGAATCTCATTGTTCTCCCTTATTTTAAGCACAATAGTCGCAGGTTTAAGAATAAACCAGTAGAGTAATCCTTTTATCTGTTAAAGAGGTACCACAAGTGAAGACTGTCAGAATCAGATGTGGTGTGAGAAATAACCTCAATATTTTCATTCAATTTCATAGTATGTGTTTATGGGGGGCAGCTCTCTGGTAGAAGGGAACAAGATTTTGTACAGCATAATAATATTTATTTTCAGGAAGAGAAAACATAATGTAAAAATTGCATTTTCACATGAAGTGGTTTCAAAAACAAGTGAATCACTGAATTTTTAAGGAAATTCCTTAGTCATGTGCATTTTATGATTACAGACTTCTATAATTATTATTAGTATAGCATGATCATGTATAGTTTTGAATGAATATTTGATGACTACAACTCCAGGTTTTCTGATGATACAGTTCATCAAGAGGTTCAAGATTCTGGTTGTAAGGTAAATAACTGAAAAATTAAACAGAGACTCTCCTTCTAATAAACATCTCCTATGGAGTGATGCCTCATCTGAGAACACACTAAGATGTGGTTAAATGTAGGAACATATAAACCTTTCATTTAAGACCTGTGAATGCTTCCTAGGCATAGGGTATCCACTTGTTTGGGGCCTGACTGTATTCAAATTTCAGTTCATTTCATTTGTAATTGATAGAAATTTGAAATAATGTTGATTTTGTATACTGCATGGGTGAACATTGTAGTTCCTGAAAATGTGCAATAGTTGAGGAGATTGTGATCTTTGAGGCTTTCAGCAAGTGGGTTTGTCTTGAAATCCAGAATATGGTGTTTTCCATATAGCTTAAAAAAAAGACACAGCTGCAACTGAACCAGAATAACCCCAACTACGGAGAAATCTGAGTTGAATTATCTGCTAGCAGACTGCTGGTGTTACAACTTGATTCCATACAAGGGTTTTCAGTAAACATCTTTTGATGTAAGTTGCTCTGTAGTTAAATTTTCAAAATGAGAGTTGAGATAATTCTGTTGGAAGTTACTGGCTCTTTTGTACTACTTTTGAATTTGTCATCAGATTGTTGATAAAGATGGAAAGCCCTTTTATGAAGTCCAGCTGAATGAAAAACCCACTCTGTTTTCTCCTAAAGAAGTTATCAAGATGATTTTTGAGAAACTTTTAGGTAGGTCACAGTTGTTGATGATAAAATCAGTCGATGTTCAAACTCGACACACAATCATACTGAATATACTGCAGTAGTATTATAAACTTATAACTAGATATACCTATCGATAGAGTGCCAACGAGCGATCAATTTGTGGTTTGATAAGGGGGTTTATGCTGAGGCATAGTTTTTTCCAATTGATAAAGGTTAAACTAAGGTTTTAAGGGCTTGGTAATATTAACCAAGTCATTTAATAACTTGAACATGTGAAAGGATGTGAATAGTTCTTGTTATTAATGTAACATTATAAAGAATAACATAACAAAGAATATGAATCGTGTTGTATTGTATAACTGTTTCTTTGAAAGAGCATAAAAAAACAACACTGAATTTTTCATTTACAATGTAACACGTCTTTTCATTGGCTTGAATAGTTCCTTCCTTGCAATTGGCTTAAACTGAGACATTCTTACATCTTACACCTTACACCTTACACTTACACTTTTCAATGCCGATCGAGAATTTTTTCGCATACACCATTCTTCGCGCGGCACTATTCTCTGCCGCCTCGCCAGCCGAGCGTCTTCGCTCAGCTGGCTCGTTGGCAATGAAGGCATGAGTCCTAGCTGAATATTATGAAATATAAATTGATCAATGGGCGAAGTGCTTTAGATGTAAATGCCTTGACGTGAAATCCTGTGTACATTAGTTATAATTTTGTCATTTTTCTCACAAGAATTGATTATCCTTGGTTCACCTTACCTCCTTACTCGAGTGGGGACTTTAACTTCATATTGAAGTGTTTGATCACTTTTATTGCATGTCTGTGACAATTTGAGTTTAGAGACTTTTTTATTTGCACAGAAATTTCTCAGGCTAATGGTGGAAATGACATTGAAGAAGCTGTTATCACTGCACCTTTAAACTTTAGCAATGAACAGAAAACAGAGATCAGGTGAATTAATCAACTCTTAATTTCAAGATCCAAGATAGAAGTTCTAAAATTGTATGGCATTAGACGATGTGCACATATTCACATCCACTGTAATTGTTTAGATTTTATGCTGTGGTTGTACAACTTTACATGTATAATGTAAACTGCAGCTTATAGGCCCCCCTCCTCCCTCCCCCCTTACTTATAAGCTCCCAACCACCTCTCCTGGCTATTGGCCCATATACCTGTAAACAAAAGATACATCTGATCATAACTGCACCCCCTACCCCCATATATAACACCCCCCTTTTCAAGCTTTTCCTTCAAACAGAACCTTTAAAAAAATTTTGTAGAACAATTAATATATTACTTCTTTTTAATAGTCAACTCTTGTGTAAATTAACTAAAACTTTATTATAAAACACCTTTAAAGTAATTTTTCAATGCTTTACTGCTAGTATTGCTTCAACTTAATGCAATCCCAAAAAACCTTAGTGAAAGCTAACACGTGAAGAGTGAGAAGTGTTGACGTGAGCTGCTCCTGAAAAAACCATCCAGTCTTGCTGCACTCACATTACTTTGTTGCAAAAACTTGATGGAAAACAGAAATGAGAAAAAAGGAGCATGTTTCGAAAAATAGGGAGTTTCTTGTTCTAACTTCCAAAAAAAGAGTTTTAATTGCAGAATTTTTGGGGGGGTTTTGTTGCTGCATGTACCTGAAATTTTCAACATCTAGTGGTCATATGAAAAAATGCTTATTGACTCAGTTTGGTTGGGTGAGACAGGAAAATATTTGGATCTTGGTTATGAAGCACAGACCAAGTACAGTGAAGTCCATCTGTCATGACCTGGAGCAAAATATTTTCTTGTCTGGCCCTCCCACTCAGTCAACAAGGACATATTATGACATTTTGAATCTTAATTTAAAAAAACAGTAGATGTATCATGATCAGCACTGCTGTAGCTCATTTCAAAGCACTTTTTTTATTCAGGATATAGGTCCCCTTGGATTTAAGGCCCTCAGTTTATAAGCCCTCCAAAAACCCCTTATGAGGTTGTATCAGCCAGGGCGTATAAGCAGCAGTTTATTGCAGTTTGTTACATGTGGTAGTGAACCAGTTGTATGACGTTTTTTTTTTTAGAGAGGCTGCAGAAGATGCTGGCTTTGATGTGCTTCGTGTTATAAGTCAACCAGCGGCAGCAGCACTAGCCTATGGTAAAGTGAACAGGAATTTTTTTTAGTGATCATGGGTCAAATGACATTCACTGCCCAGCAGTGGTGTTCTACTATTAGTGGAAGAATGCTTAATGTGCTCTGTCTTTATAAATCTCAATTCAGGGTAAGAAAACTGTTGAAAGCTTAGTGGTTGTTAGGGTACTTGTTCACCCATGAGTAATTACTGATATGTAGCTTCCCTCCCCTCCTCAATGGAATGCAAATTTATTGTGGGTATCTCTAACCATTTTTTGGTGGGTTTAGCTGTACCTTTTACGGAAACTAGCAATAGTGATTTTGGATATTATATTTTAATAATTAGAAGTGATATTTTATTCTGTGAGTTGACTGTAAAAGCCATTTCAATCAATAAGTTACTTACAAAATGAAAAGTTCTCATTTTTTTATCAAGGCTTTTCATTTACTGAGTTGTCATTTTTATAGCTATCTTTAAAAAAATAACAATTTACAAACTTTAGCTTTTACTCTCCCTTAACAGACATTGGACAAAATGATCGCACCTCATTAAGGTATGATGATGTTTATCAAATATGGCAGCTGTAGAAGGGTCTGTTTTCTTTTAAAAATGCTAGTCAGATGTATTATCACTGGGTGTTTTTTTTTATTTTTTATTATATTCTCTGTTTTATCAGATACATGTGGGAGTGGGGATATGGTGTATATAAAAAAAGACCAAACATAAACATAATAGGTTCACTTGGAAACTCTTTTGAAAAAAGCAAACTTTTGATTTTCCTTCTTTTTGATAGTAAATGCCTTTTCAATTTTTTACTTTCACAGTAGTATCTAAAATATCTTAAGAGTGAGGTAGCCAAAAGCAAGTATAATTTCAGTACTGTGAATTGATCTGTATTTTCAAAAATTGACATAGATGCCTATTTTAATAGTAACTTAAATAAAAACTTTGGCAAGATGGCATTATTCTCAATCCATAAATTGATTTTCTGATGTAAAGCTTTAATTCTTAAAATCATTGTTCAGATTTGTGCACTGCTTTATATCACCAGGAGGGTACTTGTTTATAGACTTGGAGGAACTACTCTTGATGTCACTGTTTTGGTTGTCAATGGTGGAATGTACAGAGTGATAGCAACAGAAAGTGACACAGCCTTGGGTGGAAGAAAATTTGATGAGTTACTTGCCCATCATCTTGCTGCAGAGTTTCAAAGGTTTCTGTTCTTTTTGCTCATAGAAAATAGTGGCTTAGGTTTGCAAAGATAATCTGAACCGATTGCAAATGTTTTGGTTCACAGCAATTTGATTCATACTAGATTTTCCAGCCGCCATACTACCTATTTTGTGCTCAGAAAATTTTATTTCATGTTTCTTTATTTTATTGCAGACAGTGGAAACTAGATGTCAGAAGCAATACCAGAGCAATGGCCAAACTAAGGGCCAGTGCAGAGAACTGTAAACATATTCTGTCATCCAGGGATACAGCAACTTGTGCCATCGAGTCACTCTGTGAAGGGATTGACATGAACACCAAAGTATCCAGGTATTGAAAAGTGACGCATAGTCATTTTGTCTTTGTAAGACAAAGGGCCAGTTGTCCAAGAAGTTGGTTAATACTTATCCACGATTAAAGTTACAACTTGGTTTAATTTTTCAATTGTTAAGCATAAATTGAAGCTAGTCTTTGATGGAGTTTACTCTTATTGTTAGACGAAATTAAAGGAAATAGAATATCAGTTTAAGAGCTGTGTCGAAAATTAAAAAAAAATGGATCATTAACCGTGTTTTCTCCTAAATTTCCCCGTTGAACATCACCTAAAACAGAGCTCCAAGCTCCACTTTTCCAAAGTTGCCTTTTTACAACAGAAAATTCATAATCCTAAAGCTAAATACTTAGACAGCCAAGGAGAAAAAGGCAAAATTTGGCGTCCTAAGCTGGAAATTTGATCGCCAATTTTTTTTCCTACTTGCTATACTGACAAAATAGTTCTCAGCTTGGAGCTCTTTAGTAAAACTGCAGTACATCAACTTTTTTTATTTGTTTCCTTACAGAGCTCGGTTTGAATCCCTCTGTTGGAGTTTATTCCAACAAAGTCTTTCCTCCATCGACCGAGTTCTTTCCACAGCAAATATCAGTAGAAACAACGTAGATCAGGTATGATTACTGGCAAGTTTTGAAGTACCATGATAATTTCAACTCTTTTTTATTTCAAATATTCCTCGTCATCGTTGGGTAATTGCTTAGAACTTCTTCCTGGAAAACTGTAGGCCTACAGAAATGTTGTCATTAAATTGCGGTAGCAACTCATTTCAGAAGTGATTCAACGTATGCAGTTTACTTAAGTTCAACATTTAGCGGGTATCTACCGTTCAGTCGAAGTTTCGTTTTGGACCTTAATTCTCGATATGTCGCCAATTGGTAGCCTGTCGGTAGCCTGTCGGTAGCCTGTCGGTAGCCTGTCGGTAGCCTGTCGGTAGCCTGTCGGTAGCCTGTCGGTAGCCTGTCGTAGCCTGTCGGCGGCCTGTCGGCGGCCTGTCGGTGACCTGTGGGTCATCGGTCGGCTGACAGGTTTTTTTCAGGGAGCTGTTCTTCATGATCACCAATTTTTAATGTGAGAGTCCTCCCCACTACTCGGCCTCTCTCTCTCAATAGTGCGGTGGTTTCTATTTGATTGTGAAAGAACGAAGTCAGCATGATAATATACTTTCTTGACCCCTGAAAAGGTAACGTATTAATTTTCTTTTACAGGTTGTTTTGGTAGGTGGCTCCACACGTATTCCTAAAATCAAGCAGCTTGTTCAAGAGTATTTTGCAGAAAAAGAAGTTTGTCAGACAATTGATCCAGACAGTGTGTTGGCATATGGCGCTGCTATACAGGTAATAAAATCTGACCCAATGTAGTGTAATCCCCTTCACCAAAGAGATTGTAATTATCTTCTCTTTTTTTTGGTGACTTTTAAAGGCGTCGTTACTTCAAGGAAGAGAAGAACAGATAAATTATGACATAGAGGCGGAATGCACGTCAAAGGCTATTAGTGTAATGGTAAGTAGAGCAGTTGGCTTGGCTTCCACAGGCAGCAAAACGATCATGATAATAGTCACCAGGCGGCATACCAGTTGCCTGTAAAATACAGTAAAGATGATGCAGCAGACTCTTGACCCTGACCCTGGATTTTATAAACCCGATGTTTCACAGATTTAGCATCGTGGTTCTGAGGAAATTCGAGACTAGTTGACCCAAATGCTGAATTTCTTTCGCTGTGCTTTGAATTTGCGTTGTGCGATATGCGCTTAATGCAGTGAGACTGTTGCAATCTGTCACTCAGCTATTCTTGTGTTGTGATTTCCATTCATCATTTCCTCTATTTGTGTGATCCTTAACATTTTCGCGTGTTTTTTTTTTACAGCTCGAAGAGGCAGAGGCCCGTCTGTGTCCAATTATCCCCAAGCACTCTCCCATACCCCTACGAAAAACACACAATTTCACAACCTCTGTGGACAATCAGGTTTGATTTTCTTTTCCTTCCTTACTCTCTTCATATCTGGTCATATGGTTTTAAAATACTGTTTGGAGACGTTTAAGACCGGTTTTTGTCTTGCACTCCCAGATGTTAATAGCATCAAACCGAAAGGTGTATTAATCCTTTAAATCCCAGACGCGATTAACATGTAGCTTCTCCCTATAATATCTATACATTATCCAGCAATCCAGTATTGAGAATACTCAAACTTTATCAGGTAGAAGTTGTTATCTTGATCTAACACCAAATTCTCATAACTAATTTAGAAGGAAAGGTGTAGCAGCTAGAGGGGAAAATTAACAATCAGATCTTGGGAGTTAAAGGGTTCGGAAAAGTAGTTGAGTAGAAGGCTTTATTTTTAGTTGGTTGAAAGTTCAGTCGAAATCCCTTGCGATGATGCCCTGTTTCTTTCTGTAGGAGACTGTTTGCTTATCTGTATATGAAGAGGATGACGACATGGCTAACAATGCTGGAAAGACTCTTGTAGCTAAGGTGAGTGGATAGCATGCTCCTGGCTAGGTAATTTGGTTTGCTTTAAGTCTTAATCAGGGTGCTATCTGGCAGACGACAACTTGAGGTTTTAACTCAAGAAATCAAATTGAATCACCGTCGCTATTTCGCACTCACTGGTATGGACGCTAGCGAAACTGACACAATTTTCGTTGGTGAGCGGGTACGACTAATAGTAAGAGAAAATAAAGGGGCACAGATGACGAGTAAAGATCCGTTTGCCATCAGGGCCATGATTATTACCTGCAAGGAAGATCATTACCGCTTTGACTTGTCATTTAATTCTCTTAGTGATACTCTGTATTATCAGTTTGCTTGTTAAATAGCTAATCACTTAAAGGAGTAATACAGTCACAGAGAAAATCATTAAAAAAGTCGCTACCTTTGGTAACAAGGAGGTGATCATATGTTGACAATGTTTTTAAAAATTCGCGAGCATGTCATCACTTTGCGAGGCTCATTCGCTACCTTGCCTGTGCCATGTCGTGATTATGTCGCAAATTCGTGACGCCATCGTGACCAACAGCAAGTCATGAAAAAAAGCCCTGACCAAGTCGTGAACAAGTGGTGACTAAATGGTGTGTGTGTTGTGATCATGACGTGGTTAAGCGTCGTTGCCATGTCGTAGCCTAGTCGTGTTCATGTAATGACGCATTTGTGATCGCTTTGTGCATTCAAGTTCGTGATCCAATAATGTCAGAAAACGAGTCTTGAAAGTCATGAGACAATGGTAACTAGGTCAGGTCCAAGGCGTACTCAACACGTATCCAAGGGGTGTCCAACACGTGTTTAAGTCGCAACTGGGTCACGGCAGAGGCATAAGGCAAATCATGATCAAGACTTGGTGCAGTCATCTCTGAGTTGTTTCTTTTGCATATCATATTTTAGCGACATCCCATTGAATCTTACTTGCATTGGCTTTGCCTTACTTCGATCTGTGATTGATATAGAAAAGTCACCATACTCTCTAAGCTAGATAGATGCACGATTCAAACCAATCATGGCGTGATCACTCAAGTTTCCAGCACTTCAGGAAGTTTACTTTTACTTTGAATTTTGATTGGTCCTTGTGATAATTTCCCTTCTTCGGATTGGCCGTTGTACAATGATAATTTTCGTTCTAGTTTTACAAAACGCAGTCGACATGCGTTTTACACCGTTGGCGTAGTATAAATGTAGGCCCTGATTTCCCAGCACCAAAAGCAAAACTCACAACAAATATCGTTCTCTTATTATCGCCACAGGTAGTTCTTGAAGATATACCACCCATGGCAAAAGGGCAAGCAGAAATTATAGGGACCTTTCACATTAGAAGGTGAGGTTTGGTTGCAAGCCAAATGGCGATTTTTTTAAAATTTTTTTTCAGTTCAAACCTTCAATTGGCGCTCGTGTGAATTCTGAATATCATCCTTGTTTATTACCTCGAACAAGACACTCTGAAGTCCTGTTCCTGCTTTGGTTCGGGTTTTAGTCAAATGTGGTGCTGTCGGGGTTGGACTACATCATTGTGTTGCATTGGCATGGCATATATCACTTCTGGGCTTTTAGGCCTTCTCTGCTGAGGCTATGGAAAACATTTTAGTTGAGTTTGTTCACAAAACACATTGAAGATACACTTGTCACACCCTTATTTTAGAGTATGATGACTCCCTAACTGGTGTTGATGGAACGGCCTCGTCCATTTCTGGAAACCCTGTTCTCTTTCCTAACATCTATAATGTGCAACATGAATGACTCAGGTCATTGTGCAGAGTGCAAGCGAAATAAGAGTCCCTTGGGAGAAATTGTATCAGAGGTCGCTTGCTCTGCGTTCACTCTTAAAGGCTCGCATACTGACCTGCGTAATCGTAAAAATCGGCTTTGGACCGAACAGTTTGAAGCATCTGAAGATTGTGGGCAATGGGGTAATACACCTCTTTTCAAGTATTGACCCGCTTTTCCTTGTTCTATTGGCCAAGTTTAGTGGTTAAATATTTGAGGAAAAGTCACAAACAGATGTTTCGTGCAAATGTAGTTTGCTACACAGAATTTGTTGTTGTTTATTTATGCGTGAAACATTTTGAGCGTGAACTCTGTCTTTTTCTAAATTTTACAGAGATGGATCGTTGCACATTCATTTGATGGAAAAGACATCTGAGAAGTCTGCTGACATCAATATTGACTGCTGCACTTGATTAGGTCGTACGTGGCGAAATTCAATAAAATCCTACTATCGAGCTAACCTGATTGTAATGTTGCGAAGAACGTGATGGAGTTTATGTTATTTTTTAATACTATGCTTATCTTAATCAGTTACTGCGATAATCTGGTTCTACACATGGCGGGGAATTTTTTCCAGATAAGCCGTTCAACCTGGGGTGAACTATTTTAAAGCATGAACATTGTGCGAGGGTTGCAGAAGATGTTCTCGCTAAATCGAAAAAAAATTTCTCAAAATAAATCCCCGTAAAAACTTGCTGCAAGCAGACCAATGAAAATGTCAGGGCGCGGTTGTTTAGAACCTGAGAACAAAAGAGCAGAGCGAAAAGAAGAGAAACAACAACACTGGTAATAGTTTTTAGAATTCCAGCTAGGAAAAAAATGTTCTAATTTATTTGAATCCTTAGAAAAAGGATTCTGAGCAAATTTAGACAGGTGCAAAACTTTCTGAATACTTAACATATTAGTACAAATAACAGTGACAGAAATACTGCTATGAATCATGCTTAAGTTTTATTTTTCAGGCTCAAGGGTAGAGTCTTACTTTTTTAATTTCTTTCTTTCCATTCTTTTTGTTTCATCCTTTTAATTAAGAAAGGTACGTTAGTTTCATAGGCGATTGAACTGAAGGTTGCATTTTCTTTTCTAATGAGAATGGTATTCTCTGATACTTTTTATCCATTTTCTCGATACAATTTTCCAACATAACTCAAGCTGGCGTGTCATTGACATGTTGGGTCTCAGTGCTAATTTGAGGCGTCTTCTCTTGCGGAGGGAACCTTCATTAAGCGCCTCTAAACTGAAAATACTGGATTATTTGAAGTGACGAAGTCGAAACAAACTCTTTATGGCTTGGTCATTTTTCCAACTAAACCTCGACAAAGATTTGCCAGGGGAGAAAACTTGAACTTGATCTTTGTCATGGCCAAAATTGCGCAGATTTTGACTATTGCGTAAGTGGTTTCGCAAAATTTGACTCGACTCTCTATCTGCGCCATCTTTAATCTTGGCTTGTCAAGTTGTCTTTCTAGTTTCAGGCGCAGAAAAGTACGAGTATTCGTGGTCTTAAATGTGCATACGTATTTTCGTGAAGTTTTACAGTCAAAAATTGAGCATCAGAGTACTTCCACCGTAGCTTAACGTCAATGTTTGTTGAGGACTCAATGGATGATGTTTCTATAGATCACTTTCGAGATCAGTGTCGAAGACAAATGGTTGATTTATTAGACTAGTGATTGTTATCAACGAATACTTAGCGTTATATCAGGTTGTTACCTTGAAATGGCTGGTCCAAAGTCTGTGCAGTTAGATGTAATTTTGTGCGTTTTCTTTTTTACGCGAGGTCAAAAATATTGAGTACTTCATACACGTCTAAGAGATGGATGCTCTTCGTTTCGCGCAAAAAAATCTTCCTTTCTGGGGCTGGGTTGTGTTCCAAGTGGGTGGCAAAAAAATCGGCACCTCCTAATCCTTTCACTCCCAAAAGTGCTCAAAGAGGAATTTCTCCCAGGTATTGTTTTTGAGATTATTATTATTATTATTATTCATTTATTGAGTACTTTTGTAACAAGGATTCTAGCCTTGGTTCATAGCCGAAAAAAACCTGTTAAACTTGATTAAAATAATAATTTGAGTAGCCAAGGAAAATTTCTGCCCAAGCGCCACTCGAAAATATAATGTTCCATCTCCTATTGTAAGTTATACAATGATACTTAACCTGTGAAAGGTACTTGTAAACACGTGTAACGCATTTAAAACGAGTAATAGTTCTCTAGTGAAAGTTTTTAAAAAGACAACATAGCGCATCGTAAGGTGTAATATCTCTTGTATTTGATGGTGGTAGTGTGGTCAAAATTATGGCCCAAGTAACTCGTTGGGAATTCAAACAATGCTATGTGACTTTCTAAAGAACAGAAATACCTTGCACACAAAAATTTCCTTTTGATAATAGGGGAGTCTTTTTGTAATAACCGAGCCCGATTTCTCTTTCGGGTTTGAAATGTTTTTCAACTTTAGAAATGTAATTTCTTTGACAGCAAGCCACAACTTATCACAAGTTATTTTACCAAGTTGCAAATTTGCAAAAAAGTTATGGTTTCGATATGTTTAAATTTCAGTTGTAATTTACTTTTTGCTCTGTTTACTTGAAACGACGGCTCAGCTTTCTATTTTACGGACTTGCCGTGATCTCGCCAACTCCCTTTATGATAATATTTAACAAACAGACCGCAGAATGGATTTATGAAGTTTATTAATTTACATTTTAACACATCGTTTAAATAAAACAATTGAAGTCAACCTAGATAAAGGTAACTTAACCAAGCAGAGCGTATTTCCAGCACTAAAAGTGATCTTTTAACAAGATCTCTATCCTCCTCTTCAATCTTTACCGGAAGTAATACATGCTGTCTCACTCTTTCACGTATCGTGACCTTCTCTCGAGACTTAATAACTTTGTTATTTATTTTACTCTTCCGTATTATTTATGTACATATTGTTTCCTCCAATTTGTTAACCAAGCGCCTCTTACCTTACATAACTTAGCGTTTTTTTGGTGGCTAACTGTACATTTGACAATGCGGCGCGGCTGAAAGGCGCTCTTTTACCGTTGATTCTTAAGAAGAGTCTGCTTATGGTTACTATTTCATTTACTTGTTGTGTTAAGTTCGCTACAACCGATATTTACATAGCTTAGGCAAGCAGCTCTAGCGAAATCTAAACTGTAGTTTAAATAGCTTTAGAAACGATTTGCGGAACTCTTTGTTGAAGAAAGAATACAAAATAGGATTCATTGCCGAATTCGTGTATGCCAACACAAGGAATACCCTCCACAGCTGCAGATTGATTCCCACAAGACACTTTTTGCCGCAAAACACAACGATCATCGAGGTTAGAGTCAGCGGCATCCAGCACAGTAGAAAAGTGGACACAATGATAGCGATAGTCTTAGCCGCTTTAATGTTCTTTGAAATGCGTTTCTTCTCTGATGTTATGGCTCCTGAGTCTTCGTTGGAACAGGACAACACCGTTGGAAAACTCGCCTCTTGCTTAGCGATTCGCTTAGCATGTTTTCGAGCAATCGTGTAAATGTTGAAATAAATCACACACATTATCACAGTTGGTAAAATGAAATTAACAGCCGAATTAACCGCTGAGTAATACGGGTCAATGTTGAAGAAACATTGACCGTTCATCACACTGTGCTCGTAATACGGCCAGCAAACCATTCCTACGGTCGTGAATAGTAGGGTGTACAGCCATATTACAGCTATAACCAGCAAGGCTATTTTGGGATTTATCACGGTGCAATATTTCAGCGGCCAGCTAATGGCAAAAAACCTGTCCAAGCTGACCGCCATCAAGTTCAGTATTGAAGTCGGCGCGGCGATGAGGTACATAAACACCCTGAAGTTGCACATGAATTCACCTTTGCTCCACTGATGTTGCGTAAAGTCACCTTCCACGTCGAAAGGCATGGAAAACAATGCAGTCAAGAGATCAGAGATGGCCAAGGAGAAAATGAAGTAGTTGGTTGTCTTTCGAAGGCGTTTGTTAAGTCCAATAGCTAGGCAAACGAGTAAGTTTCCACAGACACTACCAGTGATGATGATGATTATCAGAGAAGCGACGAGAAATCGAAAGAGTTTATCAGAAGGAGGAAAAGTTGTGCCTATCCCAGGGTAAGTTACGTTTGGTGAGCGTGTTGTGTTGTTGTAGTCCATTTTTGACAGCGTCAGGCCTTGTGGATCCTATAAACTTCCTTACACACCCAAAGAAAGCTGAACTTGAATTTTTCAGCGCCTTAACCTTTTCGTAATGAGGGCCAGTTGTCTTTTCCGTTTCCCTGGTTCTTGCGACGAGGCTGTTATCAAGTAGTATGGATTACTCTTACTTTATCAGGGTTCTTTTTCGTGATCCTAAATGCCAAGCGTTGATGATCGGTTATCTCTAATTGTTTGCGACGTGTACAAGTCACCTTGTTCCTACAAAGTGACCTTCCGCTAGATTAAGCACGGCTTTTCAAATGAAAATAATATAGCTGTAGTCTGTGTAAACACTCCGCTTGATGGTTTGCGCTACTTTGGTTTTGAAATTAACTGTTTGACATGTTCATATCAATGTCTTTGATTATGGAGATAGAGTACGTGATGATGAGGCGTCTTGTCACAATGTTTGATTAGTGTCAGAGTCAAAGAGAGCTCACCAGGATGTTCCACACCTAGTGCCGGACTGCAGCTAACCTCTTCCGATTTTTGCAGCTCAAGTCGATGCGCTCTTGTGTTTTCGTTGCCGGGTAAAGTTAAGATGTATCAGATCAAAAATGATCTAAAAAGAAAAAAAAATAGAGGAAAAAACAACAAAAATCATTTCATTTTTCTGGGCTTAGTGACGCGCAAGAAACAAATCAGCAGCTACAAACTCAGAATAAATTGATGAGGACAATAAAGCGTTAAACTTGTTTGATCCCTAAGTAAACTTCAAAGAGGTCCCTACGCTGTTTAACAAGTGAAGGTTACTTTATTAAATCATTTTTGCGCCTTTGGATTGAAACCTTTGATCTTCGGATCGAGATTCTTAACATCAAGCGATCATACGAGCCTTTTCGATTTCGTTGTTAAACTTAAACAAAAGCATATAACATAAATAAGCTACAAAAAGATGATAACCCTCTCATTGTTTAATAAATGAGTGTCCCCTTAATTTTCGTGAATAAACTCTTCAACAGCCACTGACGAGTTCTGATAAACTGAAGGGCTTTAAAATAAACCAACTGGAGTCACGCTCTTAGGCTTGGCTAAATCTCGATATTATGCCGTTCTGACTTGGACATGCGAGAGTAGTTAGTCGCACACGCGCAAAGTTGAAGAGATAAGCGCAACATTTTCGTTTGGGATAAATGGTTGCGATCTTTGCTGTTGCTTTGAAACTGCACAAATTTAATGTCAAATAGAATTATCTCCAGTTTATCTGATGATCACATACGATGAACTCTAACCTGACTCAGTCTTTAATCGCGCTGAGATGTGTTCAGTTAAACCGGAAAAAGACTCGGAAGATATATTTTTAAACCATTAAACGCACGAAAAGAACGAGTTTGTGGTAAATTCATCAAAAGGGAATTATCAAATTTATCTCAGCCTTCGGATTGGATTTCATAGATTGCGAAAATTTTTCTTTCCTTCAGAGGCATGTCTAAAGTAACAAACAATTACAGATGCTGAACGAAACTGTTGATCTAGGAAACTGCTAAATTATCCCATCCCCAAATCTCTGAAAAGACTGCAAAGACTTTTGCTTTGTTTTGCATTTCAGGGAATGATTTGCGGTTAGTCAGGTAAACTGGCTCGGTCAGCATTTACAATTGAACCTTAGAAACTTTTAATCACATTTTCTGCGTCTTATAATAATAAGCTTATATCATTCAAATTTCTTGATCGCTATTTGTCATACCCTTTCCTTTTGTATACATTCTTCCGCTTTTGCCTTTTTTATAATTAACTTTGTCAAACAAATATTTTGAGGTTTCCTCATTTTTAAGCGTAACTTTTCTTGTCGAAGGAAACGAACAAGATATCGTGATTTTCTCGGCGATTAGCAGATAACAGCCGAGACAGATGAGTTAGAATTGAACATCGGTAATTCTTGATGTGGCGTCAAGTAGTGGCGTCATGTAGTATTAAAATTGTCGAGATAGTTCTGTGTGAGAAAGAGCCTTTGTCGCCGAAGGAGACCAAGAGTTTATCCTCTAACGGTAGCGAAATGACGCTAAGATGTTCGCGTGACCGGCCTTAAACGAAGAGCAGGTCCTGTTCTTGCTCAAATAAAGAAATATTTTACCAAACAGATCAAAGTTGTCTCTAAGGTTGGGGCGGGACCGAGGGGGAAGGGGGGTGGTTCTCTCTGACAACATATCAACGATCTTTTAATCGTTCACTTGCAACTCTTCACTACTCTCTTTCGACTTTTACCACTGTTACAACTCAAGGTTACCTATATTGAAGGTGATGAAGTCAATTAGAATTTTCTTTGCTGCATTGAACATGTTTGGTTATGCATAGGCAGGTGGTTTTAACTGGTCAGACTGCCTAGATCAAAGAAAGTCCCGAAGTGTTTGTAATCGAAACAAAAATGTAGTTTTCTTTGAAACGATCATGAAAAAAGGTCCTCTGACCAAGAAACAACCGAACAAGGAATAAGGAAACAGTTTTGCCTAAACTTGTGTGAAGTAAAGTTAAGTTTAAGGTAGTATAAGTGTAAGAATCGGAAACCTTAAGATGAAAAACAGGAAACAACGGGTTTGAAAAAAGACAAAGTAATGGAAGGAAATAAGTTTTAATGAGATCTGGAAATTATTCAAAATGCAACTCGGAGATATAAAGTGTGAGATTTTCACAGCCTACAATTAACTGAGGTTCTTTATTCCGGGGGTAAGCCGGCTGAAAGCACTCTATGGCATTAAATAAACTAATAAAATCTTTGCCTTCCCTTTTCACAGCTCAATTTGAGAGCAAGACTAATTGGTCCCCAAACTAGTGTTCGTCCAACATTAGTCCCGTCTAATGACCTAGTTGTAATTTATCATTGGAGAAAGTTTTTGGTCTTATTAAAGAAAGACTCAGCTAACGCCTAATTTTATTATGATGATGATCATATGTATCTCTGACTACAGTATGTGACCATGAATTAAACTGATAAGATGAGTAAGTTAATGAAAGAATACCCAACACCTTTAAACAAACCACTAAACGACATTGATAAGGTCTGGTGAGATGATAAAGGGAAAAAAGAGCAAGAGGTGAGGAAGGCATAAAACACAGTAGCAATGTTGCGCGATATCATGCTACAGACAAGTGTGCTACATGAATCGTCGCCGTTGACTTTTTCCTTGTTACTAATGAAATATTTTCTTTCAGCGTAGTAAATTTTAGCCTTAGGGATCGACAAGTACGCTCGACTGTCTAGTGAGACAAGACCTGGTTATGGGAAACTGTCAGTCAAGCTTAGCAAACTTAAAACGTCACCTAATGAAGAACAAAGTACATAAATCGGGGAATCACACACTTTGAAATGATAATGAACTATGTGACGTGTATTTCACACGTTATCAAGTCCATGAGCCAATAACAATTGAAAGAACTAAATGCACCTGCCACCCAAGCGCTAAACGCAGGAAAACGTCTGTTAGCAAGTCGCAATCGAATCTAATTGGTTGAGTGGATAGCGAGGGGTTTTCAAACCACTCTAAAATACCTTTGGAAATTGCTCCAATGGATGAATTGGAGACCTACCTGAGTTTAACTTTAGTACAACGAAGGCTCTTAGTTTCGTTCCATTAAATAAATCATAGAAACATAGCTTTTACCTCTGAGAATTATTTGTTTACTGTTTCCCTTTGCCATCCCCTGGTAACCTTCTCGTGACAATTAGCAAGATGAATTCGACAAACTTTTCATCCAACCGTATCCAAACAAACTGGCAGAGGCATTCAATGAGTTATCGAGGTAATTATCGAAGAAAGGGTTGCCGGTGATTATCAAGTAATCGAATGAGTCAATCAGGGGATGAGGTCAAGTTTTACCCTTCAACAAGACTGGGGATCTGCCAGAACAATCCAGACAAATGAAGTTAAAATTAAAGACTTCTTCAGGGATTGTTTTGTTCATTTTTACCCGTTTTTTCCCCCGTTTTTGTATATCATGGATTTTACAGCCACTTTTTGAGCTTGTTGGGCGTTAGAAATACTCCATTTATGAATAATATATTGTAACTGTGATGAATTTTACTCAGAAAGGTTTGAGCTGAACGATGAAATTCGTTCACCTCATTGATAAACGCTTTGGACTTTTTTTACCCCTAGGTAATTTAGAATCTTCTGGTGCGAGGCACCATATTTTGGAAACTTCCGGGGAGATAAAAGTTTGTTATACGATTAGATTGCTTCTCCTTGCTATTTCTGGGCCTTTTTTCTTTGTTGGCTAATTTTTTCGTGGTGTGAGGTCAACAAGTTTGTAATCTCACCGTTTGAGGTTATAAAAGTTATGAAGAGTCTAATGCGGATCAAAAAATTGATATAATTGTAATAACTGAGTAGTGGGTTGTTTCGTTGACTCTTTCCCCAAGTGTTTTTTTGTTTTGTTTTTTTGTTTTTGTTTTTTGTTTTTGTTTTCCTTTTTTCGTTCCTTTGCGATCGTTTCATTTGAGTCAAAATATCATTAAAACTCAGAAACAAATTATCAATGATCACTGATTTTGCTGATGTGGGAAATAACCCATTTGGCGAAAATTTGCATTCAATAATGACATCTCCCGGCTTTTAAGGCGCGTCGGTATGTCTACAGGATTAAATAATAATAACCAAAGAGCATCTTGTTTTTCTTATTCTTTACGCAAGTAATGATGTTCGGCAAAAAAAATACGATAGCTCCTAATGTGTTTCATTTATTGTTTGCGAGCCCTCACTTGATATTTAATACTTTTCCGTGGTGTCACTTTTTTTTTTTTTCCAGACGCATTTACCCCCATTGAGTCATTTTCCTTTCAACTCGGGAATTTCTTTTAAGTTACGAAGCTCAGGGTTAAATTTCAATTTTAAACTTGTGCTTTTCCGATTGGCGCTTTGTAGAGTCCTTTATGTTGCCCAAGTGTAATTCAGTCTGAAAGCCTCGAATTTCATGACAGGTTGTATATTCTTTCACGAGCGCGTCATCCCGTGCGCCAAGTGTAACAAACACCATCGAGTGATCAATTTTATCAATAGCTGCCAAAATTATTGCCACTTGGACAGATAAGAAATTCCGAGGGGCACAAATTGATCACCACGTTTTTATTGAAAGGATGACAAATTGCGGCGCTTTGTAGGAGAAATGAATGCGAGGTCACGTCCGATAGAGAGCGTGTGGTGAATTTGTATTTGAATTGTTTTCACTTAAACATTTAAGAAGACTGATCCAGTTGTTAGTCGCGAACATTTAATAAAGTCGTCAATTTACAGTCATAATAAACTGTGTTCGTAGAATGATCATGAATTGGCGTCGATATGCTGTAGAAAGAAGTTTTAATTTAAGCATGAGAGCAATGAAGTGGGTTAAAAATAACAAGGAAAATAAGAAGATCATTTCAATTTATCTGAACACCTAAAATTAAAAGTTAAGTCCAAATTTTTTGAGATAAGTTTCGATCATAATTATGCTGCGGATAAAAAGGGTGCCGTCGGGCAGGAAATTTGAAGCAACACTGGTTAAAAAAGGAAAGAATAGCACGGCACTTCAATCTACTTGTTTTCAGCTGCATGCTGGAAACTTATTAACCCACACGAAGGGCAAACAAGTTTTCTTTCTATCATTTTCTGAATAAGGATCACTCAAAACGACGAAAAAATAACTTGATTATTGCTCAGTCAAACTTCCGATTTATTTCCCTAAGCTTTTCTTTTTTTAATGAAAACATCAGTTTGGAGACTGAGGGCGCTGTGCTCGCAATTTTTACGCGGATCACTCGATTAATAACAAAACTGTTTCTCGATTGACACTAGAAATAATATACTCTGTGAGGTCTTAGTAAACGTTTTCTTGTTAAGTCAGAAAAAACTCACCTAAGGAGAATAAAAACTTGCCAGTTTCCCGATCTGTTGCTGATATGTGATCAACATCTACGTCTGCCCTGGCTGCCTAGTTTATGACTGCACCTAGGTAATTGGAGCGCTTTCTGAGCTTGTACTGGGGCCTTATAGCCTTGTGGGTACCCTTATGGACAGTCACCAGTTACCCAGCAACAAGGATACAATTCATGATGTAAATTTAACTTGCAAATTTTACTTAGAAGTTTTTCTTTAACTGATCAGCTTTAGAGCTTTTTCTCCTTTTTTTGGACGATGTGGAACAAAATACGTGACGTTTAACTGAACTGTTATTGACTTCAGCTTTGTGGCTTGAGAAAGAAAGTTAAAGAGCATTGTAAAATGTGACAGTCCTTGTTATAAATTCTTTTAGGAGAGACACTCATTCTTAAATTGCTTTCTATATTCTGTCTCAGTTTATTCATCCATCAACAATCTAATAAGCTGGTACAATCGTGTTTCTTAATTAAAGTACTTTTACATCATTGAGTAGTTCCACGGTGATATTACTAACATTGGTAAAAGTACTTTTACTTTTTACCTTATATACTACAGCCCTGATCGAGAACATAACACAACGACGCCGCGCCGCTTGATGTCTGAAACTCGGAACTGTTCGGTTGTACGTTTTATTATGTTTAATGCAGTGACGTGGAAACAACCACGACTCCAGCCTTTCTCACCCTCATCACGAAATTTTTTGTCTAAAGACAGAATGTTATGTAATCTTATTAACCTCTGATAGCAGTCATCACGAGAATAAAAGGAAATGATCAACAGTTAGGAAGGAACTCTTGATTGCTCAACAAATTCTCCTTGTCAGCACCCTAAAGGAATGTATAGAGAACAGTATGGAGAATATGCATACTGATGTTAGGGTGTAAAGGGTTAAATGCGCCAGTTATCTTTATCACGATAGTCTGCAAATTATGTTCCTTATTTGTAGCGCATTTAGATTCCAGCTCTCTTATTTTAATCGGCTTCTTACCAAGTAACTTTTAGTCTTTAAAGTATGCGAGAAATTTGAAAACAAAAGCAAAAATACAACATCGAATTAACCGAAAAGTTCTTCTCGACTCCGTAAGTGCTAACAACAACCAATCATGGCCTCTTAAGAAGGCACTTTATATGCATCCGTAAACAATTTATTTACACTATTGCGACGACGACTGCTGTTTTGAAATCAAGCTTAGCATTCTTACATGCTGACTTCCCGCTGATCTAAAGCCAAGTTATCTCGCAGAATAACCTCAAATTTTAATTGAGAAAGCTATCGCCTTATTCCATCCACAATGTCTCAATAGGTCAGAAATAAACCAGACCAAAGAATTAAGAAAAGTCGATAAAGGAAAAGAATGTAAAATTGAAGAGATTCTGATACAAGTCAAATTGATTTAAATAAAGTAAGTTAACCCACCATATTCGCCTTTAGCTTTGCGCCACCAAACCTAAATTGAATTTCTCACTCAGCTCCACTTCTTGATAATTGAGGAACTTTGTATATTTGAAATGTTGCCGCTGTTTTCATTATTTTGTGCGCCTCGGCTGATTAATCTTTCCGAAAATTTTATTATGCCCTTCCTTTTAAAGTCGAAAGTTGAGAAACCCCGCTGTCAGTTTAAGGCTCAAGCCAAGTGCTGCCTCAGGCGGTTTTGAAACATATGAACTTTTGACCGCTGAAGTTTATTTGTGAAGAAAAATATTTAATTTTAAACAAGACAATTGTGTTATCAAAATGCAATAAAAATTGCCAAATTGCTCCTTAATAGTTGTTGGAGAACAACATTAGTTCTTTGGAAGCGTTGACACGATGCCATTGTAAACAGACAAAACTATCGTGATTAAGGCCGTTGCACCTCTGTTAGTTTAATAAAAACCAACGCCCCCAAATAAATCAACACCGGCTTTTAATTAACACTCAGCGATAAGTGTTTTTCTCTTGAGGTAAGAAGTGCTCTCTGCTTTCAAAATCTCCCACTAGGATCCTCAAGGATTGTACGGCTTCAAGACTTTGATGAAACAATCTCGTTTCAGTTGCTTTTTATAGAAAGATAAATGAGGATATTTTGATAAGTCTTAACTCGCCTATGATTTCAAACCATAGAGGATCGCGTGTTCGCCAAAGATTAATTAAAACCACTCAGTAAAAAACGGAAGAGCTTTAGGACTTCAAGATGAGTAGTTGAAACGTATCGTATAGTATTACCAACACTAAAGTAATAAGTTCAAATTCTTTTTTATGAAAATAAGGGATATTCTCTCCAGAAAGATCTGCGTCTTGTTTTGGCAAAGCTTAATTTATGAGTGTGAATTCCTTGCGGGACAAAGATATAGTTGAATACAAAAAGCTTTGTCAATCACAGAAAAAACGTCAAAACAATGAACTATGATCTTGTTAACCCTACTAACGAAGAACAGTTCAGAAGAAATCATGATTATAAAAAATATAAAAAATAATAATAATTATTGTAACTTTTTCACTTAATGTTTTCTCACCAGTTGTCGCGTGGTTTACATTTTTTTCTGATTAGTTTGTCTTCTCTCGGTTTAAATGCATATTTGATCTTCCTTGTCAGAGAAAATCGAAAAATTGATAACATCTTTCCTCTAAGGCTTTATATATAAAAGGCAGCAAAGGAAATTAATGGTCTACATGACGTGTAACCACACCCGACCCGCTAAATGCACTCGAGCCCGGCGGTTCACCGTCTGGATGTTTCGTAAATTATTACGTTGGAGACCTTAATAACGTGTTACGTAAAAACGCTACCTTAGTGAAGTGAGTTCCTCATCTACGACTCACTAATAAGTACATCGGTTTTGTTGAGTGATCGATTAATTCAAGTTTACATGTTATCTTCTATTTGGTTTACTTTGCTCATACCTGAAGTTTTAACACTGAGAGTTGGGTGTTCAGTTGTTGCTTCCTTCCAAATTAGAGTACTTGGATGTTAAGCCCCCTGATCTGTGATGCTACTCTCGATAATAGATCTACAAGGGAAAAACTGAAATTGTTAGGGTTTTTATGAAACTTAAAAGCTATTCGATGCTAAAAGGTCACTTTAAGTTTGTAAATGTCTTCAGACACTTCATGCCACGGCGAAAAAGATGTTTTCAGCTGCAACCCACTTCGCGTTTATGGACGAGTTCCAAATTTTCCCCTTGTTGGCCCTGACACGTCCCCTTTAGTTATATCTTAGTAACATTCAAACGAACCTCCTTACGACCTGAGCTTCACAAGAGATTCATTCGGTTTACACGACATCCCAGCAACTTCTCACTCCTGAGCTCAGTAGTTAAACTTGTTCAAAGATTTATTACTTCAGCTATCAACAGTGTGTTGTAATTATATACATAAATATCGATATAAATAGGTTTGACCCTTCGTCACCTTTTTATAATTTACATGTTTTGTTTATCGTCGTGGTGGATATGTTTTCAATTGCAAAGGTTAACCAGATCAGTTTATGCGACCGACGGAAATACGTAACCGTGTGGTCGTAGCACCGACAAACAATTGAACATTTGACAAGGCGAAAGTCAGTGCCTAATGGTTCTCGCTTCATTATCATGACGCCCCAGTTAGATTATGCTTGTTCTTTCCACGTCATTTAGTAATGTCAAAAATTTATGATAATAATCGACAAAGTCAGGATTCGGCCTTGATAATCCTTAAAGGATAAGAATGAAGATAACCTCGCGATGTTATAATTTCAACGATTTACCAAAATGGAACAGACGCGATAAAATCAGTAATTTCATCCTCCTTTAAAAGATCCTTTGTTTCTTTGTTGACAAATGCATTCTATCCCAAATTTTTGAACATAAACATCACTTGCGAAACTTACCTCGTGGTCCTTGCGAAGGAGAAGCACTTTGGGAAATCTGCAATCAAATTTCCTATCGTTCATATGAGCGCGGTTGTTTTCTAAAGTAGCTCTAATTCAGCAAACTGAATGAAGAAACACACTACTTCTGTACTTATGGTGAACTAAATCTGCTAAAATCTCTCGACTGTCTCAATTTTATGGAGTTCACTACTGTGTTACCTGAAGATTTGGACGGAGAGAGTATAACTTGTCGCCGCGCTAAACTAAATGCACTTTTCCGATAGGGTTGTTTTTAAAAGCTTTAGTCTCATTAATTTGTACTTTCATTATTTTCTTCTTTTGTGATAGCTGAAGTTTTAGGAAGCGAAACCTCTTTTTAATGACTTTATTGCATACCATTTGTAAATCGGTTCCGGTCGAGGAAGGAATCATTTTTGGATCAATTTCGTTCCTTTCGCGGGATTGTAATCGATCACAGTTGGGGGTTGTTAGCTTTTAGTTTTTATTCCTAGAAAAAATTATATTAAATCTTAATTTTGGTTGAATATGCAATAAAAAAAAAGCGGCTATTTGATAATCTCTTTTTCGGTCCGAGCAGTAAGCGAATTATCTCAAGTCAAGCCAAAGGAAGTTGGGCTTAAGCTAAAAATTGCTGTGGTTATTTCTTATTTTTCTGCCACCAAATAAGTCCACGAGACTGAACTAGGAATTGCTATGGACGAGTATCGAGACAGTTCTAAACTTAAAGTTCAAGTTCCCTGTATTTATTTATCTCGTCAGGGCGTCGTGATTAAAAATGCAACTTCAAAATGCACCTTAGGCCTAAAATAATGCTGTGCGCGCTGATTAATTCTATATATCGCGTTTTCTGTCTATACCAATGCCGAAGTATTATTTTATTTGATTAAAATATGGTTTTACTTACTGTTTATGGCCAAGTGAACACCCAAATTCAATAATATTCCTGTTGGCCCTTCAGAGTTTCAGTCGACTGTGTTCAAAGGTGTCCTCACGTGCTTTCGCAGTCGCTCTCTAATCAACATAAAAATCGATTATGAAGTCAGTTACATTTCACAGTCAGTTACATTTCTCCATGAGAGAAACGATTTATTTCTTCCATGGTAATCGGGAAAAGAATACTTTTTGTAATTGACGAACGTTCGAGGAAAAACAAGAACCACAAGTTTTCTTTACCCAACGTCGAACGAGTGTTTTCCTCGACGGCAATGAAAGAAAAATAATAATTTCCAAACCAGTTTTCATACGTCATTAGCATACTGTCTTTCTGCCTTTCAAAATGAAATTACCGTTAAAAGGGCAATTTTTTTTTTGTATTTTAATGGTATAGCTGTAACTATGTACAGCGCAGTTTATGTCGTTGATTTTTCCAATACTTCCTTCAACATCATATTTTATTTATCTAAGCTCATATCCGCCTACTTGGCATTGTCTATTGAATAATCACTTCCTGTGTCTCCATTAGCTATTTTTACGAAATATTACCAACTCTCTCACATCCGGAGAGATTAAGTTTCTTTGCGGAGTAACTTGCATAATAATGTCGAAGTTCATTTTCTTGCATTGTTTGGTTGGCAATATTTTTTGTTCACGCAATTATCTTATTGCATGAAGAAAGGAGCTGATGTACTTAAAATGTTAATGATTTGAGTACTAAACAGCACATTGCAGCCACGATGCTTTCCAAGAAAGTTTCCGGCATTCGCTTATCCCATGCAAGGAAAAAAATATATTATATTTGCTCGCGGGGATCTTGTGAGAGTTACTTATGAAGAGTGAAAAACTGCAGCTGATTTTTCTGCGAGTCGCACTGCTCCGACATTTGCGTGTTTGCAGTCCGATGCAACACTGTGGCGAGGGATTCCGAATATTTAACAGAATTAAATTAGAAAAAGTGGTTAACTTTATCATTGTGTCAAAAGCTCAAAACGACGATAGCTTCATGCAATTATTCTGCAAGTATTTATTTCATCTAAACTCTTACGTATTTCAGAAAAAAAAATTATTAACTTTTCAGCTGATGGTGAAACATACTTTGTTTACATCTTTCTTCGCGCAATCTGTTTTCGATGGTTTGTGCGGAGGCGTTAAATCGTTGTCTTAATTAAAAATCACCCCGATTTGTCTGTCAGTAATTTAAGTTATGATGCTTCTTTTAACTAACCGAAAATACCTAATCCAAATAAAGTGAAAATTTCAAAGGAAAGCCGAACTGAATAAAAACTTTGTTTTCCAAAGTTTTTTTTCCCCAAAGACATAAAAGACATGGCGACTTTCTTTTTACAATGTAATGCATTGGTTAGACAACTAAGAGAGTTCAATAAAATATTTTTTAATAATACACTAATAGATCGTGTTTGTCAGTAGTAGACATCAACAGTATTTTCACCTTTAAGGATGCTTTGTCGTATTTTCTCTTCTCCAGTTGCTTTTTAAAGGATCACAGCTATCCACCCTACATCCGTCTAAGTTATATTTTATGGTTGCCTTGCTTTCGTGAGACCCATTTGTCTCACTGAATTCTTTTAAGCTGAAACTGGTTGACGCAGATGAACTTAAAGAAAAAAGTTTAAATATACATTTTTTGATAAGAAAATAACGTCGAGTGAAAAGGTTTTCTTTTTCGTAGTAGCAGTGATTTTCGTGACATGATTGTGATGATTTACGCACGCGGTGGTCAGTCCCCCATGTAGCTTATGTTAAATTATACATTTAGTGATGATCGACCGCAATTTACTCAGTATTAAACTTTTAGCTCTCACGAAAATAAACAAAGGTGGTGTCGACGCGAAGAAGCTTTTATTGTCAGTTTTTTTTTGGCAAGCTTTTTTCTTTTCTCTTGATAGCGAGTATGAGTTGCTTGTTGTAACTCGACATCAAAGTCTAAATGTCGATACAATTTTTTTTTTTTCGTGTGGCTGGTGATAGGTGAGCTCGGGCGACGTTTTGTCTGGCCAGTCTCCAATCCTTCGCTCATGCTCGCTGGGTAAACCAGCAGGAAGGAAGGAGATCTAGGTAAAATGTCTTAAAGTAAAAGGCTTGTTTACAAAAATATAACACCCCAGCTGATAGCCCTCTAATATTAGGATCTACACACTGCGTCAATTGATGTCTCACTGAATACATTTAGGAAACCTGCGTTAAAGAGTTGGGTATAGGATGCTTCACCTATTGAGCTCTAGCTGTACTCGGTTTGCAACTTACCATAAACTGCGTTTATTTCACATTTCTTTTCTTTCTAGTTGACCAATTAAGAATCAGGAGAAGAAACTTTAGTTGTTGCGTGAGAGGTTCAGAGGCTCAAAGGTTTTTTTTTATTTTTTTGTCGCAATCTCAAAATATCTCCGAGGGGCTCGACCACCAGCGGCGATGATACCAATGGAGATTTTAATTCTGATTGTTCTAAGCGCTTACCACCCTATTTGCCCTTCTCAGATTTAAATCATGGCTCTCATGATTTCATTAACGCACGCAAACTTGAACTCATTGATTTGCAAGGTGAGGGGAAGGGGTTCTTTCCCTGTAAAGTTGTTAGCTCAAGGGTTCTAATTTTTGTGGATAGTCTTCAAATAAAACAAGTAAGGAAGCACAAAAATAAAGAAAACAAAACTAACCAACTATCTAGCACGCAGGTTAGGAAAACGTCCGTTCTACGCAATTTTAGTTCAATTTTCTCTATATCATATTTCATTAGGCGTTCCTGAGAAGAACAGAGTGACCGAGAGGGATTCGGGACGAAACATTTCGTTGCTGAAGATCTCTTTCCCAGTCCCTCGAATTGGAAAGTTATATGATGACAGCAAGAGAGATCGAGCAAGCGAGTAGCGTTCGGTGCAACACTCCTGTGAATATTCTTTATCAAATATAGCTTCCGGGGTGGAAAGAACTGAGGGAAGACAATTCCCCGCTTGCTAAAGAACGTGAAGTAGTGGGAGAGGGGAGGGAGAGTAGGGAGTGAGCTTCATTACATGACCGATGGGTAAGGCTGGACGTGGATTGGAGCCGTGCTCAAAGAATTACAGAGGCTTACTTCTCGCAAGTTTGATGAGGAAAAGGTGTTCAATTAACCAGCTTGCTAAGCTCTTAAGCGGATCGACGTAAAATGTTATTTAGCCAAGAACAACATTTCTATTGTGAGAAAACTTACCATTCAATGGTGTTGAACGGGCTTTTTATCTATTCAGCGATCAGAATGTGATGTCTGATGATGAAGTCGGGGCCTTTTTCGGGGAGCTTTTCTTGCACTGATAACTGCATCCCTCTCACGATCATTCACTCAGTTTTTAGAGCCCAGGGATATTTTACTGTTGGCCTTTCAAAGATAATCCAATGATCTCTTTTAGGATAATATGATAAAGCCTCGGCTGGCTTTGACAAGTTTCCTTCATTATCATATTGTGCTTTATTTTGTGGGATAGAGGATCCTCGTCGTATTTATAGCAACATATCATTTTTCATCATTTATTTTATTGTAAAGGGAAGGGATTTTATCCATTAATAGCATCACTACTAATTCGGTTTACCATATAGCATATATCGACATATATGCTATATGGCTGTGAAACAGGGAAGATCACAAAGACCGATGAAAGAAAACTGAACAGTTTCCAATGCCAATGCCTAAGACGGATACTGAGGATTAGGTGGCAGAAAAGAATGACAAGAGAGTAGTTTAAATGACAGAGGTCAGGGAAATTAGCTGCGAAATTAGCAGGAGAGAGGGTGTGAACGAATGTTTTACGGAATTTACGGCATTGGGGTGGACACCAGAAAGTCAAATGACGAGAGGGAGACCTGGGTAGAAGAGCTGGAACGTGGCCAAGGTGGCGGCACGCGATAGGGGTGGTTGGGCGGACAACGTGACGGCCTTATGCACCTACTGGCGCAACGAGCGATGATGATGATTACTAATTCGGTTTGATTAGTTTATTTTTTTGTTTATTTTTTTTGGCGTGACTAAGACGTGGAAAGGCGAGAAGATTGAGATCGGCTGTTTTTACAGGTTTCATTTTGTAAGAGCAAACCTTGTTTAGATAAGTAGCTCTCGCGGGTTATGCGTGTTCTTCGATTCGTGTTCGTTTACATCAAACCATGGACTAAAATGTCAGCTCTGAATTTATAAACTGTATTGTAGTTTAGGCGGAAAGAGTCAAGGACACGTCGTGATTTATATATTTAAATCGGGTCCAGGATGTGTTTCAAATGCTCTGCATT